TAGGAGGTGAAATCTTATGAAACTTTAGACAGAAAAGAGGCCTACAATTCCCAGCATGCCCCAGCCAGCTGTGATGGGGTTGTAGGCCTTTTTCCTGGGTAAACATGCATAGAATTGCACCTGTATTCGCAATGTGATGTTCACTCAAAGTGCCTTCCTCAGCAGAATAGAATGAGAAAAGAGAAGGCAGCTTTACATGGCCTTCCTGATGCGAGATACAAAACTCGCTGAGACAGAATCTGCGTAAATGCAAGCAAGGTTTATTGCAGCGTTTGCAAAGGCTGGCTCATAGTCCCCAGTTGCACAAGGAACAAAGAGCAACTTCTGCATGGTATACATAGGTTTATATACATTCCTTTTCCCAGTGCTCAATACTACCCCCGCTTCACCATTGGCTGGTTACTATCGGGTGAACAGTCTGCTCGTGACACCTATTCTTGGAATATTTGCAATACCTTTAATTTCCCCACCTTTCCACCTCTTTTGCTTCAGTTGGGGACCTTCACCTATTCTTGGAATATTTGCAATACCTCTAATTTCCCCACCTTTCTGCCTCTTTTGCTTCAGTTGGGGACCTTCGCAGTTAAGTTACCTCACTCCAGTTAACTCACCCTAACGGACTAAGTCTTCTTATTTAAGTGGTACGTGTCAATCCTTTTCTTAGAAAATGGTTCCTCTATAAAATAGCTCTGCTTAGGCCCTTATTTTTATCTTTTTAAAAAGATACAATTCTTTTACTTTGTATCTCACACTGAGAGACCTTTGTCTGGCTCCTAATTTACCATCTTCTTGTCTATCTTCTGGGTCAGCACTTGAAATGGAAACTATTTTTTTTAATTTGCTGTTGTACTTTGTAACTGTAGGGTACAGCTTTAATCATAGTGTATTGGACTGCTAGATAACATGTAGTTTCTGTTGTATACCATGCTGGGATCTCACATGATAAAGAGTGGTATGGAATTATTCTAAAGAAATCAATGCCATTTCTCTGGGATCTCAGAATTTGCCACCACAATTCATGTTGTGGGCAGCTCTTGCTTGGTGACTTCCCATGATGCAGGTGTTGAGGTTTACTTATTTAGCAGATATAGTACATTTCTTCAGTTACTAGGGCTCTGATGAAGAATGTAAGCATTTCTATACCAACAGCACTCACCCTAGGCCTTAGCAGCAGCCATGTTTAGAATGCATCCTACATAGATGGAATTACCCTCCTTTAAAAGCTCTTCGTTTATTTGTCACTTTGTATACTTGTTGCTTAGTTTTTTTGGTAAATATTTATAAGGTACTTGAGAAGATTTTTTTCTTCCTCTTTTACACAATACATTTTTTTCCTCCTGCAGTTGTGTTCATTTACCTTCTGTTGTGGCAATTCTTAGATTTTATTAACCCTGCACTGCCCTTGCATTTTTAAAATGTTAATTGCACTGCAAAATGCTGAATTTACGAGGTCAATGTTAGGAGAATGAATTGAGCAAAAAGACTTGAAAGAGTTGTTTCCTTAAGTCTTCTGACATTCAGATCTTACTATCTGTTCTATCTATTGTAGCACTCAGAAGGCAGGAGAACGAAATATTTCACCAGGAAAACCTTCAACCATTTGAAATCTATATCAGAATGTTCCATTGTGGTTTCATACTTATTCATCCTTCAAATCAATCAAATAAATTCCTCATGAAAAGCAGTGCTGACTACAGGTTTTGTGAACGGTTGGACAAGATGCTCTCAGTCGAGGATCCCAAGATGACTTCCTGAGGAGAGCTGCATCTTCCTTTCCACTCTCACCATTCCCCTCTTCTTCCTCAGTGTCAATCAGCTCAACCACTCAGAGGAAAGTGAAGGCAGTTTCTCAGTCTCTCCCCTCTTGTTAGTGTTTGCATGCTCAGACAGGACAGCTGAACAGACAGCAAGAGGAAAGAACAGTAGTGCCCAAAGACTCTAGTTGTGGCTCCTTGTAGGTGTCTGGGCCTTGACAGGAGCTCAGGAATACCAACCCATGACACTGGCCATTATGAGAAACCTTTATGAGAGGTCTTGCATGGCTAACTTCAGAGGCTGGGCCTGTTGGCTGTTCACCCTGTGTGCACTTCCTGGAAAATAGTTGCACAGCCATGCAACAAAGATGGAGCTGGCTAGGGGAAGGGGTCATTGATGGTCCTTTCCCTGTGGGTCCTCAGAAACCTGAAGCCAGCCCTGTGGCCTGATCGAAATTGGTATTAAAACAAAGTCAGTTGCTCCGTGTATCTTTAAGAACAGCCACTAGTGGGTGACCTGTCAATAGACCAGAGGACTAGAGCAGGTTGTGGAAATAAGAAGGCCTTTGTGTGTATGAGTGGAGTTTCAAGAAGGGAAGCTTCATTCATGCTCCAGAACAAGTACAAATAAAGCATCTGTTGTATTCCCAAACTGGATCATGGCCTCCTCTCAAAAAACTAAACAGCCAAGCTAAGCTGCTGTGGAAAGCTAAAAAGCTACCAAACAGTATTGTGAAAAACAAGCATTTTGCAAGATGGTAAAATATATTTTATTTTAAAATATAAAATAATTCATGCATAAAGATGATATTGCTGAGTCCCTGCTCTTGGATCCATATAGTAAATGGAATTTACTCTCAAGAAGGTATGCATGGGATTGTTGCCATTAGCTCTTCTCCTGAAAGGCTATGTTGCTGCTGGTGGTGATACTGGAGATTCCACAAGGGGAAATGTACCATTGACCTTTCATTGCTGTTCAAAGAACTTGTCAGAAGCAGATCTAGGTCATGGCAAGACCCCACTGTCTGGGAAAAGTAATCCAGTAGTGTATCCATCTCCAAATTAGAGTGAGAGACCCATCAAGAATGACAGTAACAAAGTCATTGAATTGAGTAAAAAATTATCTGTCATGATGATTCTGAAGTGGGGGTCTCCAAAAGGATTTTAAATTTTAAAATCTGGAGTACAGAATCTTCACACTCCTAAATATTTGTAATCCTTTAAAAACACAGTTATGAACATGCAAGTTTGCTTTGGCTGGAGACCAGTTTACAGCCTCTACTGGCTGTCTCGAGTACCAATTTGAGAGGAGAGGAGAGGTATCATTCAGTGTAACAAATAACTGAATACAGTGGCCACATTAAATTCTACACACAGCTGTTACATGAAGAGTCATTCATGTGCCACAGCACACCATAAAGATCAGGATAGTTTTACCATGTCAGCTCATGCACTGATTTTTCATTTTCGTGGCAATGTAGAGAATCTTGTCTGATCAGCTGATCCTAAAAACTCACCATATGATAAAGCCAAACTGGTCATCCAGGACACACCTCCAGTGTCTTGAATTTAGCATTATATTACTTTCCCTTACATTCTGAAAGAGAACTTGAACCTAGCAGATGGTTGCTTTTTCTTATTCTGCAATGCGCTTGAATATCTTTAAATTGAAAAAGCACAACAATTGCTTACAAACTTTGCATTACTTGCAGCAAAACTACCAGTCTGCATGAGACCCAGACTTCACTGATTATAATATTAAAATGGTCTTAACCCATGGAAGAAATTGCATTCAAATCAGAGTTTCTCACAATCAAGCTATATCAACATAGTTCTTGTAATAATTTGAATGCCATTCTGCACATTTGGAGAAGTTCCTAGTCCACTATATGCTTTTTCATGTTTCGGACTACACTCCCTTGGGGGCTGCATGCAGGGGTGGGGCTGAAACCAAAGGAGAAGTGGCAAGAATTGCCCTGCCAATCCCTTTATCTCCTTTTCCCTTTCTTGCCATTTATCTCTCCTCCATTCCCTTTCCCCCACGCACGCACACCTTCTCTCTCTCTCCTTCCCACCCACTTTCCCCTCATTGAACTCCCCCTTTGCAACACAGAATAGCCTGGTTTGCTCTCTTTCAGGAGACAGTTCTTTATTTGAAGTGCTGTTCTGTCCAATTTCAGTCGGCTTTCATAGGTTTATGGGAATGCAGGCAATTCTTCCAATAAACTGATTCCAAATGATTTAGGACTAAAGAAGTATTATTATATTACATTTATACACCACCTTTCTTCCTCTTGCAAGAAATCCTTGGCAGCTTACAAGATTCTCCTCCTTTCCATTTTATCCTCACAGCAACCACTCGGTGAGGAAGGTTAGCCTGATGGTAGGTCCAAAAATCTGGCGCAAAACTGAATAGGCAGCCCGGGCAGTGGATAGGATAAGAGTGCAGTACACTCAAAATGCCTACTTTCTAAAAGTATGTTCACTACTACAACCTACACCTGCTGAAGTTTTGGTACTGCCTTTAATGGAAGACTCCACAGAGTGTATTATAATAATGCATCTTTTTTGGATTCCTGAAGTTTTCCTTGTTCTCTCTGTCTTAGCAAAACCTTACTTTGAGCCAAATCGTAAAACTAACTCAGATGGATGCAATTAAGTTGATGTGAAGGTGACTCAAAGTGGGATTCTTAATGCAGAAATAAAGAGGTTATTTCTTTGGTGGCATGGTCCTAGTCTCTGTTATACAAAAACTATATTTGACTTCCTTTAATCGAGGATAGTTTCAAGGATTGTTTCGATATGTCACCGTTGGTCGTCATTCCCAATTCTATTCTGAAGTGGAATCATACCCATCACTTGCCCATCTCTGCTACAGAAAGCACTTTTTAAAGTGTTCTCAGATCTGCTATAAGCCGCTAATTTCTCAGTGTTTTGTTCTCAGAACCAAGGATCCATCCTTAATTTATTCCCAGACGCTTACATAGCAACATGTATAAATCCTTTCCAAAACATTGTTAAGGTTTTGGCTTGTATGTGACTTTTCTTTATTACAAGGAACAAATAGAATTTTATGCCTCCAACACCATTTTTCATCTAAAATTCTTTTTGTAAGTGCACTGTCAGCTCACTGTGATGTACTTGTAAGATTCCTCACATGGGTACCTAAAAAACAAAGATGGAGCTGGGTTGGCTCTTTAATGATAGTATTAATCTCTCTTCTCCCTGTACCACACTTTGTAACAGATCAGCCCCGAGCAATCATGATCGGATACAGCGTCTAAGGCAAGAATTTCAGCAGGCAAAACAAGATGAAGATGTGGAAGACAGGAGGCGGACGTACAGTTTTGAACAACCATGGGTAAGTGTTGGCTTATTCCACTCCATTCATATAGCACTGGATAGATACCTTAGGAATGAAGGCAACTGTGTGATAGGCTTCCCTACTGGCAGGAGCAGTTTTAAATCACAATTTGCCAGCATTTTCCATTTTAGCCCTGCGTCTTTTTCACTTGGCTCCACCATCCTTGGAATAAATGCCTGAGAATCTCTCTGAAGTTGAATGTGGCCCTTATGCTGAAAGTTTCTTCATCCTGATCTTGCCTGTTGCTGCTGCTTTTGTTATTGTTTTATATTACATTTATATCCTGCCGTTGTTTCTCTTGGAAGGAGTCCAAAACAACCTCCGAAGTTCTCTTCCTCTCCATTTTATCCTCTGAACAATTCTGGGAGTCCATGGCTGGCCCAAAGCTACCCAGTGAGCTGGAATAGGGGGTCTAGAACATGGGTCACCCAAGTTCCAGCCCAGCCCTTGAACCACTGTTCCATGCCGGCTATCTCCTGAAAGCAGGCAACCTGCAGCTCTAAAGCCAGCCAATTTCAAAGCCCACTGAAGACCATCAGTTCAGATTCCTGGCAAGAACAAGCAGTTCTTTCTGGAAGCCCTCTGCATGGGAGGGAAAACGGTGGCCCACCCACACTGAGCTTTGGCCTGTCCATCCACAGGCCGTCTGCACCTACCCCTGGCTTACCCTGCCTGCTGCTCACTTGGTTCCTAGCTGCCACTGACTTGCGGCCCCTGACAGAACAGAAAACAGATGCCCCCCCCCCCCCCCGATCTACCAGCCGTTGGTCTCCCACATTTCGGAGAGTGCCTCTTCAAAGCCTTCCTGCAGGCACTGTGACGCACATGGGAGACCCTCTACGTGGAAAGGCTGCCGTCTCCCAATGAGTGCAGTTCAGCCACAGCCCTTCCTCCGCTTTGCTTCAGCCGTTGACCTTAATCTCAGCGCTGCTTAGACACGAGGTCCTGGCTGACCTTTGAACTTCTGCCTCTTCCTCCTCCATCTGCAGCCCAGCATTCCTGATTTCATGTTGCCTTGTGCTCTGCCATCTGTCCGTTCTGTAAAGGGTCTTGTTTCCCCATGACAGGGCTTGGCTGGGTCACCACAGTGCAGACTAACTTAGCTGTCCTTCAGTTGATGCCTGCAGGGGATTGTGGAGGCATTATTTACAAGAGCACAATTCTTCCTTTGTTGTTAACTGCAGAGTTTCAAATAAAATATGAAAGCATTTAAGGCATGTATGTTGGACTTTGCTTGAAGAATGCATTTAAAAAATGCACTAAAGCTAGATATCAGTATAAAGACCTGGAAGCATGTCCATCTCAGAAATGAACAACTTGATTTTGCCAAAGCAGAAAAAATGCCTTGAAGAGCATTGCTCCCTAAACCCTCTCTCACATGGATAAATGGGCTATTCATTAATTTTGTTTCTACCACCACTGTCCTGCATCTTAGTACAAGGCTCTCCTGTGCAGCTCATATAACAAAATACAGCTGTTTGAAAACATGGGGGGGGGGGTTATGATAAATCTGGTTGTTAACCACTGCAGTTAAAACTACCCATCACAGATAATAAACCATAAAGGGAGACCATTAAATCCTATAAATGTCATAGGATGAATTATTTTCAGCAATTAAATTATCCTTCAAAGGTTTTCAGAATAAGAGTATTTTAATTAGTTTTGTAAAAAGTGGGGGAGAAAGAGAGATATTTCCCTGAAAGGGGGTCACCACAGGAGAGGCACTGATAGGCATCAATAGACCCAAGCAACTTGAATCAGGATCCTGTCTGACAACCTAAGCATGTGAGGATACAGTTCTGGGAGAAGACGTTCCTTGGGTGCTTGAGCTGGTTAGGACACCACGCAGATGCTTGCAGAGATCTCTGCTTGAGGATGACATAAGCCACAACCCCAGGCTGCTCCATTAAGGAAGCAAGGCTTTGAAAATATATTAAGGATGCAGGGGAAGTATCAGCATATAACTGTGGATAGGGTTTTTAAGTAATAATTGCTATGCTCTCACTGAAATACATAAAGCAATGGATTCTGCTCTCTGGCCTTAATCATGGCAGCTATTTATACATTTATTCATCATATTTTGTGAATAGATATATTGCATGTGTTAACCTGGAGAATATATAACATTTTCATTCAGTCATTCTTTGCACTTTGGTCTCTTTAAAAGTATTGATTTTCAATCCTGACATTAAAAAATAAGGACAACAAAATACCTTAAATCAGCTACTTCTGGAGGTCTCTGGGAGACTCTGTGCACTCTTCTCTGTAAAATATATAGGTTTCCCTTTAAAGCTCTGCTATAAAATGTTTTTGCTTTTCTCTGGAAGTAATTTTAATAAAAGTCTTTCTGTTTGTTTATTTATTTATTTCAATGACTGTCTCATTTTTCATTGGAATGGGACAGATAATTCAGCAAGCCATTTTTTAACACGTTCATGTGTGAGCTCTTGAAAAAGGACATGCATTTCTCCACTCTGTGGGGGTTCTTCTGCTTTATCTCGGGAAAGAATGGTTTAGGGATTTTGGGAAAACTGTCTGAGAAAAACATGCACTCAGAAGGACTTGAGAACTTAACTACTGAAGGTCATGGGCCAAATGTTCTCTTTCCAAACACCATAGCAACTCTAGACAGGCTGCCTTGGCATATATTATAGTTCCCAGTAATGAGTGAGTGGGGAATTATTTAGATGACAGGCTGATTACCTCAAGAATGGAATAATTTCCTAAATTGTGGGTCAGAACACTGACCTTCCTTCTTCCTTTTTTCTCATCCCCCACCCCCAAACAAAGGGGATCTCTCCCTCATTGGGCTGAACATGTAAATGAGTTTAAGTGACAACAATTCTGTTTAATGTATTAATTTTAATCTTGAGCTTCAGAGTTGCTTTGGTTGTAGGCCCATTCCATTATGAAAGCTAGAACTAGCTCTGTGGGAGTGTGTGTGTCTGTGTGTGTGTGTCAAAGCGTGTGCCTTTTTACCCAGATGGATTAATTTAAAGAAAAAGTCCATTGTACCTTGGATTTATCCCTCCCCGCTCTATTTTCTAATCTGGGTAACATCACTAGGTTTGGAAGGAATAAAGCAATGATCTCATCCTTTTTGAGAGTTTGCGCTCAATATGGTTTGAGCACTGAGGAACAATAAACCCATCTCTTTAAGCAGCATATGTGACTTGGGTGTATTAGCTTAAAATTACAGAGGTGCTCTATCCAAAATGTCTCCAGATGTGGCAAATAACAAAACAATGCTAAAAACATAAAAGTGGTTTACTGTGTGCAAAGGGGAGGGTACATCAACCGTATCATTAAATGCATTCTGGTCCTTCTGTCTCAAAGCTCTTGGCTCAAAATATGGTTGTGTGTGTGTGTCTGTAGGAAAGGGCAGGGACAGACATACCTGTGCAAAGCCTCTTGTTAAACTGGTGCATTAGCCTGGGGGAACTAATCTGAGGTATCAAGAAGTGAGTGGAAATGGGGTGGAGAGAGGCTTAGACAGGCACAATGCTTTAAAGCCTTAAAAGTCCCTCAGATCTTTGCTGAGAAAGTACACTCTTTCCTCCAGTGAAAGCACCCTTTCATTTGCAGGGCTCTGTGACCTGTGAACAACAGAGGTGCATGGTTTTGTCTTTTAAGATGGTGATCAGGGAACCAAGATTCTAGTAAGATTCTACTAAGATATATATTTCGTGTGTGTGTGTGTGTGTGTGTGTGTGTGTGTGTGTGTGTGTGTGTG